CTGTTTTGAAGTATTCCCCGAAAATATATTGCCATCGCAACTTTAACGTTTTAAATGTAGTTTAATATGACGCACTTTACCGGATGCTCTGCACTTAAATGCTTAATTTCGTGTCTTTTCTACGGGTAGGCCTATATGCTGATTTTTTTTTGGCACCAATCCCAAGGAAGAACATCAGTAAGGATCTTATTGTATTGTGTGCCTATAACAATAAAACATTATTTGGGTACAAAGTGTACAAATGATTTGCGAAGAAGCAGATCGGCAATAATTAGAATAAATTGTTCACAGCGGTGTTAGGATGTCTAGAGGTGCGTGTTGGGACCGACAAATAAGCTTTAGGACGTTTAAAACGGTTTAACGTTGCATCTTCGGCCGTCTCGTTCTAGATAATGTGCAGTTGTATACTGTATTTCTCAATACTCTCTCGAAGGGCCAGGTTTTGGTCCATTTACTGGCATCAGGCAGTTTATGTATTAGCTGTGTCATGTCTAACTCACCCCATAACTATGTCATGTAACGATTGCCAGTGAATTTAAGATTATAAAATCAGGACCCTTTTTCCTGTGTAGAGGGTGTGTCTGGAACTTGGTTCTCACCAATCGTCACTTCTGTTTTTCAGTCGTATGGTGTCATGTCAAATGACTCTAAATGAGACCCATAACATGTTACATGCTTGAACTGGGGAAGCAGTTCCCTGGTTCCAGGATACAGCTCTTTCCTGTCTACACTTAAACAAGCTTATCAGCATGGTGAGAGCAAAGTTACACGCTGATTATAATCCACTGTGCTGACTATGTTTTATTCTGATCAAAACTCATTGATCATTTCTGTTTTGTAGGTAGAAGGGAAAAAATACTTGTATACACGTCTCGCATGTAAACAGAAATGTATCTTAGATTTGCAAGAACGACAGTGCTGCTCAAGGCTGAATGAAATGAAACATGTTGGCACATTCCCCTGCTTGATAGCAAGGGGCAGGATGCTTCAGGGCACTTTCTGACCTGCCAGAGATGCTGTAAGCATGTACATGTAAGCATGTACATGTAAGCATGTACATGTAAGCATGTACATGTAAGCATGTACATGTAAGCATGTACATGTAAGCATGTACCATATCCCCTCAGTCGTATTTTTGGGGGCAAAAGCCTTTGGTGTTTCTGGTGGAGCAGAAGTTTGAAAATGTCAGTTTGTACTTCTTTTTTTTTATTATTTTTTTTTATAAGCCCTCAGAATAAATTGTCCTAGAGGATGTGGTGGATTGGTTTCGTTACTAAGTCTGAAACTGATCTGACTTCACAAAGCAGTTCTCTATTTCACAAGATCTCACCAGACTTAAAATGATGTGAAAGCTCTCACGGATGTCTATCTGAGGGAGTTGGGGGGGGGGGTAGGAGGGGTTAAAATACCACACTCTTGAACCAGTAGGGGAGGTGCCACTTAAGTAATGTGCTGCTTTCTTAGAAGTCTTAGATTCATATGTGACATCCCACAATGCCCCACGCCATCCAAATTCGCAACCATCATTCGTCGTAAACAGGTTGCTTACTATGGAGATTTTGTGATAATGGTGACTTTTTCATTACAAACATCGGCTCTTACGATTGTGGTTGCATACGTCAATAGTTCACGGTGAGGCAGCTCTGTGGGTTGTGACTAGAAGTTTGCAGATTTGCATCCTAGATTATGCATGTTATGCCTTTAAGAAAGGAACACAGGTTGCCTAAATATTCAGTTGTGCAAATTGTAAAAGCAAAAACACAGGTGGTTCTTTCTGCTTCTGTGGCTGAAACCTGCCCCCAAACCCATATGATGGGGGCTTATTTAGAATCCTATATATATATACACATAGATAATATGTTAAGATTTTGTTGTGTGATAACTGTAAATGCTAATTGGACTGATTTAGTCTGGTAAGGTTTTGCCAGTCATACAGTTATATTGTAAACTCATAGCAATTCCCTTTGATATTCTGAAACCCATTCATCTTTTGGAGAAAACTCTGAGGGCAAAGGAATGAAGAAAATGAAAACTCAATCTTTTGAACTATTACAGTTTTGGTGATGCTTTGAAGTGCCACCATTACAGTTCTCTGGCATCTTATGGTTTCTGTTCCTTTGTGGCCTTTGGACCAATGTCATCCCCATAGCTGAGACTCTATTAAGGAAGACTTTCTCATTTGTGATCTGAGGAGAGCATTTACCTTAATGTAGATGTTTGTAATTAAAGAATTTGGCTAGTTCTTTTATACCAGGGTTCTTCAAATCTGGACCTCGATTCCAAATCCAGGCCTTGTTTTCAGTTCTCCCAGGTAGTTAGTTTAATA